TTGGAATGGTGACAGGTACATCCAAGATTCCACACTCTCGTCTCCACTGGATGAATCGTCGCCACTTAGCGTCATACAAGGCAGCTGTGGAAGGTCTAACAGATTCTGAAATAGCTCTGGTAGCTTCAACCGTAAATCCCTGATTCCTGAGTGACCTTGAGATAGCTTCCATATGTGTAGCGCAAGTTGCCTGACATTCTTGTGAACTCCGACTTGGGTTGACTGATTAGATTGTGTCACAACGGAAGATGTAGAGGTTTGTCCACCAATAGTTATAGTACTGACTGAGTTTGGTTTTACGCCGCTTTTAGCAATATTCCAGCAACATCACGGCGGTATAGTTGTAGTAGGGTGGGAAACCAAGGTCTGGCAGGCCACGCTGGTGCCACTAGACAAACTAGACAGTAGTGTTGTTGAATTTTGAACAGACCCTCTGGAATTCGTTTGAATGGAGGAAACGCATAGGCTATCATCCCCTCCCATGATATGGATAGGGCATCGACTGCCCATGCCAATGGATCCAGTACTGGACTCACAAACGTTGGTATTTCCCGAAAATTCCTGGAAGTTGCAAATAAATCTATGTTTGGAATTTCCCACTTCTGCCCTATCAAATCGAATGCCTCTTCCTTGAGAGTCCATTCGGTCGAGATCACTCTGTTCTGTCGAGATAATGAGTCCGCTAGGATATTCTTCCGACCTGGAATGTGGTGTGCTCTGATTAAACAATTTATAGCGTCCACTGCTTGATACAGATCCTGAGTGATCCCGAGGAGCTATTGAGATTTGGTACCTCCCTGTTTGTTGATGTATGCCACTACTGTAGAATTGTCCGACACTAACATGAGACTCTTCCCGTACAAGCGATTCCCCAAGCAACATATCGCTTTCAACAGTGCTAACATCTCCGAACAGTTTATATGCAGATTCACCTCTGACAGATTCCACACACCTTGAATTTGCCAAATGTCCATGTGTGCACCCCAACCCTTGTTCGAGGCATCCGCATAAAGTATCAGATCCGGTAAATGAGGACGTAATGAAACTCCTGGCAACACATTCACGTCCACCGTCCACCATAATATCTCCCTTCGGACTCTATCTGGACAAGCTATGAGCAGTTCCAAGTCCTCCATCCGAGACTGGTTGAGCCAGATCTGCGGGATTCTCAACCTTAGTCTTCCTCTTACAGTATAATCCTGGATTGAAGTGAGAGATCCTAGAAGGGACATGAACGAACTGATGCAGTTGGCGTCAGTAACATATTGGTTATCTTGGTTGATATTTCCACCTAACGATCCTGAGGAGTATAAATACGGCCTGCTCTTGAGTCCAAGATTGCTCCCAGAAACTTGATTCTGGTAGAAGGGACCAGTTCTGCCTTGGTAGGATGAACTATTAGACCCAAATGTGTAAACACGTGGATTATAAAGTTGGTTTGCTTCATGAGAACCGCTGTCACCACATTCCTTGCCAAGAAATCGTCCAGATAGCCGTGTATCGCAATCCTTCATTGATGAAGAAAAGCCAGAATCGGGGAGATTATTTTCGTGAACAACCACAGCGCTAGAGATATCCCGAACAGCAGCATCCTGAACTGAAACCTACGACCGTTCACCGCAAATCTTATAGGTATTTGCAAGATCTTTGATGAATAGGGGTATGAAGATACACATCCTTTAGATCTATACTTATAAACTTGGAATCCTGACGAATCAAGGTGCGTAGGTTTGCACAATTGATTCCATCCTGAACTTTGGCAGTTTCCTCAATAATAGCTTGTTCAACACTTTCAAGTCTATTATCATGCGCGCATTTCGTCCGAATCTTTCTTGGGGACTAGGAATACCGGTGACTAAAACTCGCATGTCTGTTCCCTGGAGGAAGTTCTACGATTGCCCGTTTCTCCAGTAGCCGATTTATTGCTAAGTTTGCCCCAGCTAAACGCTGGCCTTGAAGACAAAACCGATGACCCTCTGGAAAACAAGTCACTGGATGTTGCTTGTGCCAAGGAAGAATAAACCCCCTGCTCACTACAGACAGGACCCACTTGTCTGATGTTATTAGTTTCCAATTGTCTAAGTATTTGGCCAATCTGCCCCCTACTGGACATCGTGTCACCGGACATACAAATTCCAAATCCAATATCATTTCGAGGGACGTTTCCAATTCATAAGTAAGAGAACGCTGAACATAGAGAGTTTCTTGGAAGTTGATCTTGATCCGCGAAAAGATCTACCTCCCCTACCTCTACCCCTAGATGAGGATGAGCCTCTAGTAACAGCCACATTTGTAGAACTCGTTCTTGAATCCGAAGCCCGATCAAAGGCAGATCTCTGAAAGTTCTGACTACAACTTGATGAAGATGGAGCAGAACGAGACGTAACACTGGAACCTCTTCTAGATCTAGTGTCAGGCCTTCCTCTATTTTGGAATAAAATTCAAGTTCCTCAACGTCAAGGCATCTCTAGCTCCAATAGCCTGTTGACATTGTCCATAAAAGGTGTTATCCGATTCCAATGGCTGGTGCCATAGAAAATCCCTTGAAACATCCGGTAAATTCCTCACTGAATCTAGCCGCTGTATCTGCTCAATAGCTGTAAATCGTCCCAATATATTCACTTGAGTCGCCATCGCATCGGCTAAGGATTGATACACTACATCCAGAAAGGAATGCGCTAACGCCACCTCTTGAGCAGTCATGGAAATCAAAGTGTCTTTCTTAACTTCCGTATAATCTTGAAACACTGGTGGGAGCAAAGCACGAACTCCCGCAGAAAACCAGTTTGAATAAGATAGGGTATCAATCTCCGAACGGGCTGCCGTATCCAATTCCTTCCTGGTGCCATAGAAAATCCCTTGAAACATCCGGTAAATTCCTCACTGAATCTAGCCGCTGTATCTGCTCAATAGCTGTAAATCGTCCCAATATATTCACTTGAGTCGCCATCGCATCGGCTAAGGATTGATACACTACATCCAGAAAGGAATGCGCTAACGCCACCTCTTGAGCAGTCATGGAAATCAAAGTGTCTTTCTTAACTTCCGTATAATCTTGAAACACTGGTGGGAGCAAAGCACGAACTCCCGCAGAAAACCAGTTTGAATAAGATAGGGTATCAATCTCCGAACGGGCTGCCGTATCCAATTCCTTACAATTCTTAAAGGTACAGAACGGTGCATATTCACGAGAGCCTCTAGCATCCTGTAACTGTTTAAAGTCCTTGTCTAAACTTGGTTGATTGGCTGGGATAACACGATCATGAATGGAATAAATGGGTTTATGAGAAACCGTACGCAAAGAATTCAAGTTTGTAGCCTTAGAGTGGCCTAAGTTGTAATTCTCCAATACTTTCTTAAGTGATGATGAATGTGGTAATGACAGCCTGGGCATCCGTTCCGGGGGAAGGCAACCTGATAATCAAAGTTCCACGGGAACATCTATTTCCTGTTCATCCGGCTGTGGTGGTAGAGTATTAGGATAAAGTCCGTGCAAAAGTTCCAGCTTTTCTATAAATGACCAGCCCGGCTTAAAATCCTGTGCTGACATGTCCATAGGATGTACCGTCAACAAGCCTTCTTTCATGGAAAACTCCGGTTGTGAAAAAGGATACACTGATAAATCTTCCTGATCCGTCACATCAGACACTAACGGAATTAAGGGCGGATTGTCCGTGTCAAAATAACAATGCAGGTCCGCAGCCGTGTCCTCTGAACCGCTAGGCCTGTGCAAATCAGACTGCTGGGTTGATACACCGTTATCCATAGCAGCCAACCCAGTGGCCTGGCTTGAGCTGGAGCGGGAATCACGTGCCGTCTGAGCCGCCCGGTCTCCCCATGGGAGAAGGTAGCAGGCTGTATGCAACAGGGAGCAGCCATGGATGACTGGCTCCCGGGGACAAAGGACGCAGGGTGTGTGGCCTGAGCCACGGTCACCCTGGTTCCGGAGCCGGCTGGGCCGACTCCATCCCCGTCGCTTGAAACCCTAGGCCTCTCCCCCTGTGGGGACTGGCCTCCTAAGTACGCCAGGGCGTGATAACCGCTTTTTCCAGTCAGAGCACCCCTGGTTTCCGTAGGAAGGGACTTTGGTTCCCGGCTCTTGCCATCGACCACCAAGCCCCTACAGCTGTCTGCCGTCTTGTCGGGTAATACAGGATCTTCAAAATGTTTTGACAGGAGATCGAATTTTTCGTCATTCCTCATCTCCATATCCCGTACAGATTTATCCATGGCCGCTTGGATATCGCATTTAAATCCCACCAAAAGTTCTGAGAACGCAGCTATATCCAACTGGGGGGAGAGGTTTTTTATTTAGATCTAGAACGAGACTTCGGTTCAGATTTTATAGATAAAGGCGGAGATCCCTGAACTTTCTTCGACTTAGAGCATTCTGATGACGATGAATGGTTAAGCTTTGTAACTAAGGAATGAGATTTGTCCATCAACAACCAATCTTCTTCCGGCATTTCCTGACACAATAAGCATCGATTCGATATTGAGCAAGGTAAGTCTTTATAACAGGATGCACACAGAGAGTGGGGATCAACATCCGCCATGAATTTCTGACATTGTAAACATTTGCTCTGCTCCATACTTGTCAATCAAGAAAGGGCGGGAAAACTTCAGATCCTAAATATGTTGGAAATATATATAATATATATGCAAAACAGCAATGCGATTGAATATTAAATAGAATGCGATTTGTAACTGACCTATATATGAAGAATTGAAGACTTGATTTGAAATGAAAATTTCACTCGATTCTCTGCACGTCATGCGTGTGGACCATACAGTAAAATTATGAAGGGTTCTAGGAGAACAATACAGTGACGTCAGGACCAAGGGAGATAACTCAGGGGTAGATTCGGTATACCACTAAGAATAGCTATGACTTAGTGTTAAAATTTCTTTTGATTTTCTGTATGTATTCTGTGAATCCACAGGAATAAGGCTACCATAATCCAGAGGGAATGTTTTCGTTATAATTGAATAATTCTCACCTATCATTCTGACTATGTGCTTATGGTCCAATTCTTGCATAACTTCTGCCTCTCTGACAATTTCAGGCTGCAACAGAGAGTGAAGTCATTTTTACACAGAGGGATGCAGAAATGGGAAATTCTCTGGTTTTACCGTTACATAAGCGTACTGAAAACTTGCCACTTGTTAAATTGAATCCCACAATGATATAATAGAAGTGTGCTCATTATTATAAAAATGGATATGATTGTTTAGATTAGCCACTCATTGAGTATAGCCAGTTGTTAATATAAAATGATGTTAACTGACGCTGAGTCCAATTTCTCAGTTTGTATGACATATCACTAATTAGTGGTATTTGAGCTTACTGTGGATCAAATATCAGATTGCAGTATATATAAGAGAAAAATCAGGTATTTTCTAACAGTTCCTTCAAATCATTTGTTAGTTCTATCCATATACATTCTTTCCATAGTCTTCTGTACACTATATGCAGTTTAAGTCTCTAAACATCAGTACCAACATGTCTGAACTCAAGAAATAAATATAATACATTTTGGTGTAACTAAACAAAACTTTATGTCTAAAGTTACATGTAAGTAAAGGTGATATTTTCCTTCCATGTATCCTATTACCTGCTTCATTATGTTTAGATATTATGATACGTTTAACAAAAAGGCTTTATTAGCTTTTGCTGTAATTACCTTTTGGTCTGGTTTATAATCTTCATTCTTTAGAGTCTTGATAGCAACAGGTATTTCTTTCTTTCCTAGGAAGCACACCCCTTTAACCACAGAACCAAACTGCCCAGATCCTGTTAACAATGAACACATTAAACAAAACACTGAAAATATATGGTACATGTCCATTTCCTGTAGAAATGATTGTGTTTCCATACAGTTTCCATGGGAACAAAGTCACATACTGGTTGGTTGGAACACTGGTGCTTAGAATATTTCATATCATGAAACAGACCCGATCATGGAAATGATGGTACAAACCAATACGACATTTATCTTGGCCCCCTTATACTGTAGCATTCACAATATGTAAGTTTGTACATATATCAACATAGTTAGATTGATAATGTATCAGCTGTATTGGCACATGTGAGTGTAGTCTTGCTAATACTTTGTGACAAGCATAGGAATATATATGACAGAACATACACTGAACATATCAAACACAATTTTAAACCAATTATTCAATAGCAAGACCTCATGTAATTGAAATCATAAGTAAATAATAATAATAATGAAGTAGTTTTGTATCCCGCTAGTACCTAAAAGTATTGCAGTTTATTCCTGCTTAAACTGACCTAGTTTGTCTTGAAGCTGTATCTGTGATGGGTTCAGCTGGAAGCGTTTGGATTCCCTCCTAACCTTCACATACTCATCCTCTAAGTTGTCTCCATCAATAGAAATCTGTATATCAGGAGCAGCTCCTAAATCCAGGTTATCTGAAATGAGACAAGCATCATGAAGGTAAAACCATTTGTAGAATTTAAATCTACAAACCTACATCAAAGAAAATGCACACTACTGCCTAGAAGTTCCCCTTCCATGCATAGGCAACATGCATTCGTCACTCATTTCAGGTGAAATAATGTAACTAAATATACAGGATATTTTTATCAAACACATGGCTGATTTGTTTGAGTTTTATTCTAGAAGTTGGTTGTATAGAGATGACAAAATTTTAGGGATGATCAACTTCTTTATTTTAACAATGGCGACGTTTTGGTATGTATTCTTCTACCATTTTCAAGCATATGAAGTTGTAGTTGATCATCCATAAAGTTTTGTCATCTCTTAACACATGGCTGTTGTTCTGTCTGTCTTGCAAAGATTACTTACTGGTAGGTTGGCCTGGCTCTTTTGTTATTCTTTTGTTTTGGAACATGCCATAATTTTATTGACTGGTTTATTGGATGAGCAGAACAGGTACATGCTTGTTTTCACCTGATTTGACTGAGATTTGACTAATCAGTTCGCCAAGAGATTTGAATAATAAAAATGCCTAAATACTTTGTTTCCAATCTTATAACAAAAGCTGGAGTTTTTGACAAGATCAGTTCTGTCAACAGTTATATCCCTTTTATTGGTAGGAATTCTGAGATAGTAGAAAGTTTATTTCCTCTTCTTGCAAACGTAAACATACTGCTTTTAAGTCCATACAGGAATTGTTACCAAACAAATGCAACAGTAGTTGCTCCACAAACAACAAGATATTATTATTATTTGTTTTTATTATTTAAGTTTTTAGTTCCCAGCAGATGTTTACATGTACATAAGTATGCGTAGATGTTAACATGTACACAAGTATGCACAGATACATAATATTGTAGATGAAGTACAGATAATACAGGTTTGAAGGCCTCTGATAGCATGTAAGGCATAAGTCATTTCCACATTACCCATTATTTCCCAGCAGATGTTTACATGTACATAAGTATGTGTAGATACATAATTTTGTTCATATTGTATATGAACTATGACTAGAGCAGGTTTGACTGCAACTGGTAACGTGCAAGGCATAAGTAATTTTTACACTACCCATTATTCCGAGCAGATGTTTTCATGTACACAAGTATGCATAGGCACATAATATTGTTCATATTGTGTACGAAGAACGGCCAGTGCAGGTTTGACGGCATCTGGTAACATTCAAGGCATCAGTCATTACATTACATTATACTCTTTGAAGTTTACAATTTAATATTGAGCTCAAAAGTCTAAATATAGTGTTTTGAAAGAGGACCAAAATGCAGAGAATTTGGACTGATTATTGTTTGTAAAAGCAATAAAATTGCCTGACTGATGGTAACTTAGTATTTCATTTTGGATGCATTTAAATACCTCCCCCCCCCCCCCTTTTCTGCTCATAGTGTACATATTTTGTTTCACTATTAAACAGATGGCATTTATTGGGTTATTATTTCTCCCATTGAAGCCAAAAATAATATTTTCTGATGTTAAATCAATGTATCCTTCAGCTAAATTTTCTAGCCATTTAGAGAACTCTTTCAATATTTAGCTTGAATGAATACAATCACATAATAAATGTAGAACACTCTCAGGCACCTGTTTACAAAAGTAACACACAGGGGAATTAATGTATCCAATCATATGAAAGTAATTATTAGTTGTCAATATATTCTAAGTTATCTTGTACTGAAACCATTTTAAATTAATGCTTTGAGTACATCGATTAGCCATCAAATTAATATTTTCCCATTCGTTCTGTTGGATGTCTCAGTCCCATGTTAATTGACCATTTGTTTTACTAAAACAAATTGGCATAGTGTTTTATAAAAATGTTTACTATTAAAAGGTAGAATATGGTAGGCACATATGTTTTCCACATGTTTAAAAATGAAATTTCTCTTTTTCATATATCAAAAATTGCTCTTTTAAGACCTTGGTATGTAAGAAAACCAGCATCTATGTACACTCATTCTCAATAGCAGGGTGAAAATGCTGTCGCTGCCATGCTTCTCTTAAACTTAATTAGCAAATGTTATAGTATGACCAGAAATTATTGAGAATTTTAGGAATATGTTTAATTAGATTTCTAGTATAAACAACCTTGACCAGTTATCAAGTGCTTGGTTTCATTCAAGAGAGACAACTCCGTAATCCTTTTCCATTAGTTTGTGAAGAGTTATCCCCCTTTGTTTACTTGCTAGCAGACGACATTTTCAGTGATCCTCAGTATGGATGATTTAGAGAAGAGGAAGTTGATTTTAGAGTATTATAACAAGGACATCAGATCAGCTAAAGTGATTTCAAGTAGAACAGGCATCCCTTTGTCCACTGTTTATCGTGTTTTGAAAAATATTGCAAATGGATATGGCACTGAGCACCAGGAAGGCGCAGGTAGGCCCAGAAAATTGACTGTCGGTGACAGGAGGGGGCTTGGTATTCTTGTTTCTAAAAACAAACGAAGGAGTTTAGAAAACTTAAGGCTGGATATGATTGATAGAGGAACTGTGGCTGTCTGTAAGGAGACAATTAGAACTGAGCTGCATGCAATGGGTTGGCTGAAAAGTCAAGGAATTCCATCACCGATCATGAAAACTGAACAAAAGGAGCGAAGGTTGAACTGGTGCTTACAGCATAGAAATTTGAACTGGGACAATGTGATTTTCTCAGATGAAAGTTCTGTGTGGCTGTTTCCTAATACACTGAAATTCTGGACCAAACAAACTGAAAAACCTCTGTATCAGCACCCAAAGTACAGTCCGAAATTTAACGTGTGGGGTGGCATATCTGTGTTAGGGGCAACGCCCTTCCGTGTATTTGAAGGGAATATGTACTGTGAGCGGTACACAGATATTCTCGAGGGACATTTACTGCCATCTGCTCACGTGTTCTATAGAAAGTTTTTGATTTTCCAGCTGGACAACGACCCAAAACATCGTTCAAAGCATTCACAGGCCTGGTTTCGGACCCAAAATATGACATTATTAGATTGGCCAAGCTATAGCCCTGACCTAAATCCTATAGAAAATGTTTGGGGACTTATGAAGGAAGTGTCAATAAGAAATATCTGACAAATATTGCTGAAATGAAAGAAGAGGTGGTCTGATATTGGGACAGCATGGACCTCGACTTTCTAACTTCTTTGATCAGTAGAATGCCCCGCCGCATTGAAGCCTGCATTGAAGCCCATGGTGACTTGACAAAATACTAACTGTTCACCTGTCTTTGAATCTGGAGTTATGTTCTGCTAATATTCACATTTAGTACGTGAGTAATGAGTGAAGAAAAAAATAAATTTACAATCTTTAAATTCTCAATAATTTCTGGTTGTACTGTATTACCAGTATGGTTAAATAATGGTACCAACATGCCCAACATACCACAGGGGCTTGTAACGCTAAAAACTGCCATCAAGGCATATACTATCACTGACGGGGTCTTAGTACTATATAATCCAGTGATAGTATATGCCTTGATGGCAGTTTTTAGCGTTACAAGCCCCTGTGCAACATACATCATGCATAAACAGTCCAATAACCCCCAAAGTATATTTGTTACAGCTGAGGTAATCAACATGTTCGTTTCTGTCGCTGGTAGCAAAACCTTACTTTGCAGTTTAACTTAAAGCAGTTTGGATATTAGTACATTAAGACATTGATATTGGTCAAAAGTTTCATTTTCTGCAAATTGTTAAGCCAATGCATTCTTTTTAGATAAATGAATTTGGTCTAATGCTATATCACCAGTTTGAGGAAACGTCCGTGACTAATTTTCAGCTTGACATGTACATGTGTAGAACAAAGCATAATCTTACCCATTCACTTTGAATGAATACAATTTATGTTTACATTAATGGTACTTGTCATTATTTGGGACTTAGAATATCTCTCTGCATAACATATCTCACAACATAGAAAATATTCCACGAGTAGAAATAAGAGTGAAATGTCAGATACCACCACCAAATTAGGGAATTGTGCTCTATTTCACATAGTTTAAGTTCCATTTAGAACACAAAGTATGCCGGATGGAAAAAAAAAAAAATATTCAAAACTTGTGAGTGGTTAATGGTAACTTACTGCTTGATTTGCCAGAGTATGTAATCTCTGTTACTAAACTGTTCGTCACAGGGTATTCAAAACTGCATAGCTTGTGAAGCTCTGATACTATTTTTCAAATATCACATGACTCCTATCCCACCTGGGAAGTCAAAGAGAATGTATACAATCACCAAAGACTTAAATTTGAGACTCATCTGAAATAGGACTTTACGATGTAACAAACATTTCATTTCTAAATAAAAAAATGACACCATCACTTACTGTTTAGTTATAAGTCACGTTTCAGAGTTTACAAAGAAATGTCACTCTGTATTTGATAAGACAGGCTTACATTTGGGCAATAGAAACATTACCATAACATCAATAACAACCACAAGGAACATTTCATCCAAGTAACAGATATTTCTATCGCTTCGATTGGAATAAAATTTAGCTACAGTCCTATTTTATTTCAAGAATTTTTGTTGCTAGTTTCATGTAAAATAATTACTGTATCATTATTTGAAATTTATACCCCCAACAGATTGAATGATAAGAAGTAGATTTAAGAATAGTTTACTTTTCTGCCTTTAAATAGTAAGATTTTTTAAGATAATGTTGGTATTTAGTTTGCAAAATCAATTGCTCCCAAACATGCTTATTAAATCATTATATGATTGTTTTCAGTTTTCACAATCTGCCCAGTTTAAGTCTATCTGAGGACAAGACAGTGTTTCTGAAGACATAACATTACCTGAAATGTTCGTTACTTATATAGTGATTTATAACTAGTGGTTGGAAAACATTTAAACCATGTCATAAACCGACACATATGTTATAAGATTTAACTTTCAGAGGATTTGAAAGTATTTGTCACTTCATGGCATTTTGTTTCATGTGTATCCTGCATTACTAAACAATGCTTTCACACAGTT